TATCTGGGTAAGCGAAAAACTCGCGCTCGATTCCGAGACGAGAATCGCTCGGAGGTTATTTCATGCGACAGAAAACTAGTTTTCACATTATTACGCGAGTCGTACGAATTTCACGCGCCTTTTTGTTGCCCGCTTTGTCGCATAGGCGATAGAGATACAACAATGAGTCTCGCCTCGTCAATTATCGCGATGCAAATCAGCGTGTTGCAGTCACGAACGCTTTACCAACGTCGAAATTAGTCTGCTACCTTGACGACGTCGAGGTCGTGTATAGTATTTCGCAGGCTTGAATTCTAATGCATTCGGCTATATGAGAAAACAGTATTACGAAGACAGGAATATTTTAATGTTTACTCTGCGTTCGAAATTCGCTGAAAAATACTGTGCTTCGGGGAAAAAGTTGATAAAAATATACGTCCACGCGGAAAGATGATTTCGAACAGTCGAGAGACTCCGCATTTACCGACAAATATGACGTTTCGATCGGAGGCTCGTATTCTGTTTATGTACACGCGCCGCGTGCGCGAGCGGCCAAACATGTCCAGCGTTAACTAAAGTGCATTAACTTCTGCCTGAGTACATACACTGCATCGTATGTGCTTACCGCTCGAAGCAGTAACGCGCAGTATCCGCGATATGTCCTTCGAACGCGACGCCAATGAGAACGGCAAACATATTTTTCTTCGAATCGGATATCGTCCTTAAATAATGGCGATTCAAACGCGGAAGTCGCATCGTCGTAAACACTCCTGAAACATCGTACGGCAAGGAAACATCCCAGAAAAACGTCAACAGACTTCGAGCATAAAGCTTCGAAACAGTTCGTGTCCCATTTTTACGTCCTTCGACGAAAAATTACCGATCGATGCGTTTTACTACAGACGTATGTACAGCTATCATTCCGTTAAAAAATTCCGTTTAAATGTTTTTCTTCGAGAAATGGAATAGTCACCTCGTGATCGATTTCGTGAATCAACGTGTTGTTGATCGTATGACGGAGTGCGAACGATAAGCATTTGGGAACAAGGGATCGAGAGGATGTTTACGTTTCTTTCGATCGATGACGAGAGGAGAGTAAATTGATTCTAAGTACGCACGTGATATTTTGGACGCTTTGTGACACGTACCCACGAGCCTATGACGTCTGTTTACGAGTTTGAACGCAATTGATTCTGAGGATCGAGAGAGGTTAACGAGACTTGGAAGTGATTCCTAACTTCGAACTTTTATCATGCTAAAGATGTAACATTGTAATGCTGGGTCCAGAAAGACCCAATCATCGTTGAACCGAGCATAGAACCGCGATTGTGCGAGCGATTCTTCCGGGTGAAAGATCCACTTGGCCAATATAAAGACTGCAACGAGGAAAGAGTGTACTGGCTGAACCACTCAGGGACTCGTTCGGGATCCCCAAAGTGCTCGTCGAAGTCGAAGGGGGCACGGAACGTGATCGGACTAGACCCGGAGACGAGCGGAAAGAAAAGCTTGCTCGTCTGCCAAAACTGACTGAAAAGCCCTACGAAATGTACGCTCCGGAGGATTTATCGGAAACTCGACAATGCTTGGGTCAGAGTATTCGCGAAGGAGATTTATAGCGGGACCCGTTCGTCCATTTTTTCTACTCCGATTAATACCTCCGCGCTATGCTATTCTTTGATAACAGGCTCCGGGATGAATCGCTCCGATCGGTCGCTATATTTTCTATCGCCCGTGCTAAGTATGGAAGCTGCGTGCACACGGAGACCTTCGAGGAGAGCGTTTTAGTGTATCGATCCTTCGTAGGTTATTGTTGACATTATGGATACCACGGCCGTTGAGTATTCTAGCTCACAATGCGGAGATTTTGCTTCGCGTTCGCTGCAGGTGATTCATTTTCCCCCGGTCGCCGTCGCCGTTCCGCGATTTATTTGACGGTGCTTTATCTTCGCGACTAGATTTCATAGTACTACCAACTTTTCAGGGTATATCGATGAATGAAGTTCCTCCCCCACCGTGAGTTTTGTCGTTTTTATCGTCTGTCGTTGGCACCCAAAAAAATGTAACGTTTGTCCGGATTTATGGGAATCACTTTGTCTCGGTACGAAGATTTTGGATGTCGGGAAAAAGATATTCCGGTGGCATTAAAATCACGAAAATGTTATTTACACGAAATGGGAGTTTTGTAGAGGGTTGTCTCAATCCCTAAATATAATTTTAAGTATGTATAAAAGAACAAACGAGTTTGCTAATATTATTAATTGCATTTGAAATATTTTGCACAGTAGTCTGTCGGTGCAGACAGCGATGCTACGGTAATTTGGTGTAAGGATTGCTAGTTATCGTAGAAGTGAGAAGGTGCTCTAGCGTTAAGTGGTCGACGAGTCTTCGTTTTAGCGTAACGTCGGTACAAATTGGACGTTGCATGCATCCACGGCGCAAACAAACGTACAGATAGATTTTTAGAATGGCACATAAATGTGTGCCAAGGACAATAACCGTTGCAACGTATCGCCCGCTATCCGGCACAATGGCGGCTCTCACGTTGATTATGCGAGCCAGCTTACGGACTCCATTGGATCAAGTAACACGCGCGTTTGGTACGACAAAAGACATGGTGCAATTTCTGACGACGACGTGGATCGATTGAAATTAAATAAGGCACGCGGGACGAGGTACTTGTTGCATGATAATTCTACTGGAGACTTGCGCAAGGATGCTTCCTAAATTTTATATTAGAAAGCTACCGTCTACGCTGTAATATTGTTTGTACTATTCTCTACGATGCTTTTCATCCGGTATCAACCGTTAAGCCCTCTTCTCTAAATGTTTTAATACACCAGGGTGCATTAGCTCTCCAAGTCCAAGGGAACTCTATCTTCTAATTACAAGAATTGATGCTCCCCTGTGCACATTAAAAAATATTGCACAGACGAATTCGATCTATATATAAAAGTCCAACGAACTAAAAACGCAAAGGGTTGATTTATCGACGAGTAGCCGCGAAAATCTTGATTAGCGTTCGACCTACTCCGCGGCAGCTTTAATATTCGCGCGTACGCGTTTGAAAGAGAATCTGAACAGAGAAAAACGAGAGGCGGCGGCAGACCTGACGAAACAACAAAGCCTGCACACGAAACGCGCTTCGCTCTTTCCAGCGGAAGCACGCCAGCAGATCTTAACTATTCAATGAACGTTTGTCCATTCACGACGCCGGCACGTGATGCGGCGTTTTCCGCTCGCCCGGGACAAGCTGGAACAATCGCGCGGCAGAACGAACGCTCGCCGCGAAAACCGTTTCATCGATCTCCAACGAAATCAGCCGCCCGGCGGCTTCCTTCGTCGAGTTCTCGTACGAAACAAAGCACGTTATACGGGGGATGGGGTGTACCAGGGATGTACCAACAACTATGAAGCGCTCGTCAGCGGTAACCTAATAACGATAATCGATTAACGAAGCATCTCCACTCAGCCGCCGTCAGGAGCATCGCGATCCGGAGTTCGCTCATTCAAGAAGAATCGCGGTTTTTCTGATAAACTGTAACGATTTCGCCTGCTTTCGCGTGCTTACTGCAATCTGGCGATAACGCGAAGTCTGCGCAGACTTCCACGTTTCGATAAAGATACCGTGTACGTTGGAATTTTTCTACGTGTTCTACACTCGTGATAACATTCGAGTATTCGCACAGATTTGGAATTCTTGAAATTTTCAGTTCAATTCGTTCGACGAGTAGTGGTAGTTACGGTAATTTCACGGAAATATTTCGGTTCTAATGAATCGTTAATTGCTTTATCTTGATAGGCTCGCCGTTATCGCTCCGAAATTAGTGTCGCTTTCATTAACATTCTCGTCCACGAATTAGGGTCATTTTCTACTTAGGCGCACGCACACCATTATCATGTCTGCTCGCCCGACCGATAACTAAACCCGACACTTGGCGTGCCTTCCTGATAACGGAAACTGACAATTAGTTTTGCAAATTACCGACACGTTGCGCAAACTCCAAGGTGAAGTTAACAAACCGTGGTAGCCGGCGTAAGAGCCTTGTTGACAAGGAATTCCCAATTAGAGCAACGGGAAAAACACGCCACACTTTGCACACATTTTATAATCTCTGCTAACACACCGACCAGTGTTTTTTATTTTTTATTTTAAACCGAGTTTCCTGTCGTGCCTTTCTAGAAAATAATTTAACTTTTGTCAAGGTACCAACGATGGCACTTGAATTTAACGTGTGTTAAGCTTTCTTAAGTCGTTCGAACGTGCAACGAGAGGGACGATCACGACCGGTGAGATCTGGTTCGCGAAACTGTGCGCGTTGGAAGTAAACTTCGACAATAATTAAACACGCAACAGCGCTTGATCCCAGTAACCCTATAGAAACTTGCGAAATGCCCGTTCCATAAAGGCCGTCACGGTTGTTGTTAAGTCGCACATCCGATTACAATTGTTGCACGAGTCTTGGAGCTTCGCGGTACCACTACTTTAGACTACTAACGTGATTTCGTACGAAGATGTTGGCGGGATGCTCGAACTAGTTAAAACGGTAGAAACGGCTAGAAACGCGAGTTAAATAATAAAATTCTGAAACACTGAGTTAAATCGATAAACGATCCGCGATCACTTCTACCGTGACCAGTTTGAAACAAGGTAAGAAATCCAGGATTAGCGCTCGAATCATCGTTTAGACACAAAATATTTGCAATCGACCGCCTGACAAAAGAAGGCACGCCACGACCAATTGGTAGATTTTCAACGGCTTGAATCGTTTAACGTGTTTGGCCAGCGAACTTTAACTGTTTCTGCTCGAATGTGAACAGAGTGACGTGCAGCTGCCGCGCCACTCCTCCGAGATTGTGTTGTTCATTAGCAGTATTCGTCATCCTTAACGCGTTTTCAAACCTGAATTAACATGTTTCTTTGTTGCCCGTCCGCGAAACCCATGTGTCATGACGTATGTCACATACGCGTATATAAGAACGGACCAGGGATGCGGCGATGCAGACGAAAACTCGACCACGATTTCATCCGACGTTGCTCCGAGAGTCACAGATATGAAGAAAAGTGTCCTGTTGTTTTCGATCGTTTCTTTGGCGATGGCCCTGGTCGGTGCGAAACCAGTTCCAGAATCCAAGCAGAGTGAGTTCACGTTTGAGAATATAATACGAAACGGTCGATCAGTGCTCGTGATCGATGTTGAAAAATGTTTAATTGTGCAGACGATTTGGAGTACCTCGCGCCCCAGGAAAGCCGATATCCTCCGTACGCGTTTTGGTTCGGCAGGCCTTATTACGAGCTGAACGACGACGACGGCGATTACACCTACTTCAATCGAAAGTCGAAACGACCGACGTCTACCGTATCCTACGCCAATGTTGGGTAATAGTATTTAGCCTTAATTAACTGCAGTCGAACTTGCGACGGTGTTAACGAACGCGAACGTACCCGGGATCGCGTAACGAGAAGAAAGCGATAGTTTCAATATAATTATTATTTTTTAATAGGAAGAACACTAATTTCAGAGAAATCTAAAAGCGACACATCGTTACTGAATTTTCGTTTAATATTAGCTAAAGTAGTTTTTACGCGCAGACAAATAATATTTACACAAAGCACGAGATGTTTGCTCTTAATTAGATAAACATACTGTGATTTTATAATTAACGTGCAAAAACGGAACCCGTGGCGTAAAAAATGTGAAGATTTCCATGTGACGGCACACGACGTTTGCTCGAGAAACGAATCAATATTTTGACGAGCAATCGTTGCATTTTTCTTGTTGCAGGGCTGGATGGGGTCGCTGAGAATCTCTCGTAAAGCGAACGAATTTTTAATCAGAAAATCATTATTCGCAGTTCTATCACGATGTCATGCATGTGCATTAATATGGATATTAAATTATTATTATAAATTGTAATATAATTAATATTAAGTTATTAATGTGTGGTATCGAATTTTGTACTTTCGTATGTTCTATTTAATAAATTGCACGATTTATGTACCTCTTTTGTTTAGTGTTTTACAAACATTAAAATTTAAAAAAGAAGCGTTAAAAAGTTAGTCGCGTCACCGTTTAACCGAGACAAGGGTTATCGATCATCAAACAAATAGCAAATATTTACGAATGCTCGGGCACCGTCCACCGTAAGTGGTCGTACGACTTCCTAAGTACCAGGACGCTCATGTCTAGTTAGAAACAGAGTAAAGAGAGCCGACACTTTCTACTCTACGACGAAATGAATTTTATTCTCGAACAAACACCCGACGGAAAGAGTCCTGCGAGGCCCCCAAGCATCGATCAGAGCCAGCAATTGTCTCGCGGCGGAAAAAGAAGCGAAGACAATTGTGCACCCGCGTTCGCGGTGGATCAAACGAGCTACTACAGGGACGCATAAACAAGCGGCTGCAACGAAACCGAGCTCTGCCCTTTTAATCGCGCGTGCAGTAATTCCCGACGAGGAAATCTTAACGAGTCCTTTGTCTCGCGGACGTCGGAGGAGGAAAAGCAGCTGGTTCTCGAGGGGGCTGTAAGCTTCCAGAGCCAGGTGAACCGTGCGCGGGGGGGGCCTACGGAGGTCCCGCAAACTCGCCGGCTCTGTAACGTACGTTCAAACGGTGGATTCTCGTGAATATTTAACGGGGCTGCTAAGAGGATGAGCTTTCTTGAAAAGGGGCTCCATCGCGAACGTCCAAACGGGACACCGCGGAAACGAACGAGGCGGACCCACTTTTCCCCTTTTAATCCCCCGCCCGCGAACGTCGACGCTCGCGAAATTATATACTCGCCCCGGCCCCGTTCCGCGACCAGTTTTTCTCTCGCGTCGAGTGTCACACTTTTTCACTGTTCCGCACTCTCGTTCTCGTTTCGACGGAAATAACGGCCGGAGGTGCGCCGTTAAACGTACAGGACGTCGCGTTTAGCCTGGATCGTCTGTTAAAAAAAAATATCAGGTCGCGGGAGATAACGAAAAAAAATCCATAGTCGCGCGAAACGAACTCCGAAACGTTTTAAATCGCGAGAGTTTGAAAATTGAACAAAAAACTATCCAGTTACGTCTCATGATTTAAACATTAACTAGGCGCCGTTCTATGCGGATTTTCAAACCGTCCAGCCATAAACGCCCGCGGCCGGCCTCTTCCGTTTCCACTCCGCAATTACGTCCACCTTCGCCTTCCGCGCGAGTCCCATCGATTCTGTCTCGAGTGGCCGTAATTCGCTCTTTGGAAACGCAATATTCAGTCGCTGCTCTTCCCATTGCGACAATACGACACCGACGTAATGATAGTAATGATAGATTCCTGCAGTCACACGCGACGACCACGAGCGCGGATAAACACACGGCGAACGCGCCACGCCGATAAAGTAAAACGTCCCGATGCGCGTCTTGAATATTCATCGAACGGGTTACACGCTGATTACATGCAAATCGAATTAATCTGCCTTCCGGTTAAGCGGTCTTCTCGCTGCGAAACCGCTAATTTCAACCAGTCTGCAACGTCTTCGTGCATTCTCGATCCATCAGCTTCGTTTTCACCGTTGCTACTATTGAACAAACTCGTACTTTATCATGGAAACTTACATCATGGTGGGAATTTTTTCCCTCTCGTTTTGAAAAATATTGGTGTAGAACGAAAATCGGAAGCGACAAGTGCGGGAGAATCGTAATGAACACGCCAAGGAAACGATCGTCGTTAGCTGGGGGACGTTTCACGTAGCCGATGGAGCATCGTAACGACCCGTCGAGAGCATGAATCAACGTTTCACGGGCGCCGATTCCAGGTCTAATGAAATTCTCCGGAGAACGCGCTTCATTCGCGTCCCCATAACGTTCTACGCGTGTCACACCGCGAACCAAATTTCCCGTTTAAGCGTGAAAGTAACGAAGAAATAACGCGATTTCCGCCGTGGAAATTAAATCGTCCGTCCCAATAACAATCGTAATAACGCCTGACGCTAACTTTTCATTTTAGAGATAGAATGTTAATTTTTTCGAAGTATACATCGATAACGAGAAACAGCTGATAGATCAAGGACTGTGTAATGAATTGTTGTGGAATAATAAAAACGTCTACGTTTGCAGTTATTTCCTTGGAAGTTATTGTACCCTTTTTAACCCTTTCCTTACAGTACGACGGTATTGAAAGAACTGAAAAACTGCCTATAAAGTATTAGTAACCGTCATAACACGATTAATCATCCGCGACTCGCAACATGGTAGCAAAGTGCAAACTGGTCATCAGGCTAAAATAAGTTTGGCATGCCCGTCCTCCAGCCGTTGCTTTCTTAAATTTATGATATATTAAGGAGCACTAATGGTTCCTAACGATGCATTATTCATTCGAATAGTGATTTATATATTTTTGATAATTTATCATTTCCGTATTTTTACATCTCTCTACCCGCGAGAATAATTTCAACCTCGTGACTTCCACGTTGCCTCCGAGGTGCGTTCGTTGATGCAGCCGGACTAATTAACCGAATTTTTAATCAGCCTCCAGGCGAACGAGCCGGTTTAATCGCGCATCCTAAGAGGACTGTATCCTAACATGAATGTCAACCGCAGGAATTTCAAGATATTAAAAAAGTTTATTTTTCACGAGTCCCAAGCCATTTCGCTGGTGCAACCGATGCACGAAAGGATTTATTATTTTTCCCGGGCAAAATGAAAAAAATGATTTTTCGGTCGTCCGTGTTTTTCAATGAATATAGTATCTACGAACGATTCATTTGTATTCCGCGAACATCGTGTTAGAGTCAGCATCCGTAGTCCTCGCAAATCTATTCCTCTTTTCCTCCAAACTTTTCCGTTCGCCACATGGGAAATCACCGGTGGCAAACTCTTTTGGCGGCTTGGAATTACTTCGTCCCAAAGTTTCATGCATGAATTCATCGAAATTAAATACATCCATATTCGAAATCACATTGGTCGAACGATGAAACTTGGAAACTTCAAAATTACTGGCGATAACACGCTTGTAATTGCAATTCGGAATGACATCGATCAAACAAGCGACTCGTACATTTTGAGCATTTGTAAACTACAAAATTTAGTGCAACGATAATTGCGTGAATCAGATTGCAATCTAGATTTATTGGAAAATAAAAAATCGTTTTTATCAGAGACGTAATTTTTGAATCCCTAGTTCCAGCAGACGATGAACGACAACCCAAGGTAACTATCAAACTCCGATCGAGCGCGTCGTTACCGATCAGCATCCTCCAAAAACCCGGAAGGAAGTTTGCTCGCCAACATCGCGTCACATGCAGCTGCCAGGAATGAAACGACATGGAAAACAAAATGTAAATTGCTTTTCTTTTTGGCCTGACCAAGCCTGACGCTCGATTTATCAGCCACTCGAACGCGACGTCGCGTCGCTCGATCGTGTTTGCAACTTTTCTCATACCCCTAGCGCGGCACATTCTTCCGCCATAAATCAGCTTCCTCCGATGAATTTCCCTTATCCAACGACAGCGAGCAATACCTAACACGTCATGCAGAAATATTCCAACCATTCGTCGCTATATCGACACGAAAACTCCCTTCTCGTTTCAGGTACAAACTTTAAATCAAAACTTTGAAAACTATCCCATTCTGTTACTATTATGTTACGTTACAAAAATCCGGAGAAAATGTTCCAAAGATATTTTTAGAGCGTCGATGAATATTATATAAACCATTTAAATCGAAAAGGAATTCAATTTCACAGTCGCAAAAGGTAACCAGCGATTTAGATCTTGATCTCTAATAACGTGTCAGCCAGTCGCGTAACGCAATCGTTAGTGGAAGCAGGGAATTCAATTAGCCATGAATTTTTCCTTGCGCAAAACGACTCAATTAAAAGTCCGTGTAAAAATTGATTACGCAGCCGCATCCTCTGCTCGTCCCTCAGTGGGTCGCTGGAAAGACGGGCGAAGGATGCAGGAAACGGTTGCGGCAATCGCGTCGTTGCATGCATTTCGCAGTTACGTGCATTTTCGTAGACCGCCGGAACCTGGATTTTTCCTGCGCCCTACGTATGCACGCATCTGGAGCGTAGCAAATTTCGCAGTATCTCTCGCCACGGTTCTGCAACGAAATTCACGTTGCTCTATTTTACTCCCCCCCTTCGCTGTTTTTTAATTAATATCCGATACGTGGCGTTGCGTGAATCTATACGATCCAGCGAATCAGAAGTTCGCGTACACTCACAAAAATTTTCCGAGTATAATAAAAATCACTTTAAGAGTTTCTTCAAATAACTGTATACGCTTTTCACGGGGAAAAAATGATAAAGGAGTGGATTCGCCTGGAGAACGTACTGTGAGCCATGACCCACGATCGACAGCCACTATCGGGTCATCCCTTCGTAGCGATCCTAATGAGTTTATCAGTATTAATGCCAACCGTGTTTGTGGGTCACCGGCTGGCCTAATTTTGGTTCGATCGCGGCAGTTCCGGAATCTCGAATATTTGAACGGGACAGACGCAGGGAAGAAACTACGACGCAGGAAACGGTGAATTGTCAAACTTTTTGCGCGGATTAAATCGTAACTGAAAACAACTGTGTGTACAAGATATTTGGCAGAATGGCTACGCGATATTTTATATCGACGAAATATACGATAAGATGTTAAACGAAAGGGTGTGGGAGGCCCAGCGTGGTGCCAAGACCTATTCCAAAGTGTACGTACTGAATTGAATTCTTTCACCAAACATAAATCCATCTTCAACATTACCAAAATTGTACGTGGATTAAATTGCGACAAGATAGTTGGCAAAACGGTTCCACGATATTTTACAACGACGGAATATAGAAAATGCAAAACGAAAAGGTGTGAGATATTCAGCATGGTGCCAAAAACTTATTGCAAAACGTACGAGTGAACCGAATA